CATTCATCTGTTTATGGACATGTATGCTGTTTCTAATACTTAATTATTATAAATCATGCTGCCATAAAAATGTATGCATTTATCATGATAATTAATGTGTTTAACTCTGTTGGAAAGACACTTAAAAGAGGAATGGCTGAGGTCGAGTGAGTGAGAAGGTAAGGGAGAAGAGAGGAAATAGAAAAAGAATTGAAATGATTTATGTATAATTTTAAACTCACCATAGGTAATGTAAACATTATGACTGCAAAGATATTCTAATAGAAGATATTAAAATTTTAAAAACTTAATTCTAATTCTGTTTTAAAAAAATAAAGTAAATCTCAAACATGCCAAAGAAACTAGAGATAAGGATCAGAACAAAATATAATTGAAAACATAAGACAAAAGAGAAAATAAATTGAATGGAAATAGTATTTAAAAAGATCAATAGCACTGATTACCTACTTTCCAATCAGACTGAGCAAGCAAACCACCAAGAGAAAGAAAGGATATGTATTAGCAAGAACAAGGATTAAACAGAGGAAATTGCAGGACATCAGGAAAATATAAATCAAAACTCCAGTAAGATATCTAGCCCAATTAGAATGACTGCTATTAAAAATGCTAGTGTGATGTAAAATAAATTATTTATTACTTTTCTTATTTTCCTGTGCTTTATTTTTTCTTTCCTTCTTTCTTCAAAGTAACTAACAAAAATAAAATAATAATAATAATATTATCATTGTAAATCCTTTATATTTCCTGCAGTTAAGACAACATATTTCAGTGCTGAAGTTACCGCTGGCAGTAGAAACAGAGCCACCTATTAAGTAGCCAGAATGCAACAGTATTTGAATATATGACTATTTCTCTTTTATCACCTTGTCTTCCTCTTCTAGAAGTTGTAGGCATCTATTTCATTTGATTATCTGTCATTTTAATGAAGCTGCATCTACATCTACAGTCATGTCATCTACTGTTGTTTCAACTGTTGCATCCACCTTTGAAATGCTATACCTGACATTGTCATGATGAAAATTGGAAGTGATGACAGCAGACCCATCACTTAACACAGGTATAAAATCATTCTAACCATTTCAGCTGTCTATTTCCTTTTTTTTCCAGAACCAGGGATTGAACTCAGCCCCTTGTGCTTGCCACGCAAGTGCTTATTCTACTGAGCTATCTTCCCTGCTCCCCTGCTGTCTGTTATGGTGAGCAGCATTTTCACTCTCAGAGTGCTCTCTTTTTAGCCTACCAAGTGCATGAATTTCATCATTTTGAGGTGTTGGAAAAGGTCTTTCTAAATCTAGAAAATCAAGTGGTCTCTCACTTAGTGTAAGTTCACGAGGTGGTGTTTTTAGTGCTAGAGTTTTTTGTTTTTTTTTTTTTTTAATTTTATTTATTTATTTATGTGTGTGTGTGTGGCCATCTCAGCCCACCAGGGGCGGGGCTGGCTGGCATGTGGTGCTGGGGGATTGAACCGCGGTCCCGCTGCTTTGCCAAACTTGTTCTAAATAGGTGCTTTAGACCACTGAGCCATCTCACCAGCCCCTAGAGGTTTTAAAGGAGTCCGCTGATTAAGGTCAAGATCTGCTGGTCTGGAACTTGCATCATCACATTAGCATTTGAAACTCTTCAGAATCGTTGTTCCAGGTCAGCATTTGGTGGTGCTACTTCTAATTTCCCCGAGACCCTCATTAGCTGACTTACACTTTTGTTGTATTCCATTTCATACGGAATTTGATTAATTTCTGCCATTTCAGCAGCACTGAGAGAAGGAAATGCTTCCACACTAACCCTTCCAAGTGGTGTGTCACAGCTTGTTCTTTTACTCATTTTAATACAGTAAATACAGGCTTACAATAACTATGAAAACACTACTACTCTTGTTTACTTTATACAATTCCCCTACAGATCTGAACTGTTTTGGAGGTTTACATAACACAGATACTGCTTTTTAGAAACAAGTACTGGTTGTAGTCTGGCACTGCCTACTTCTGAGCTTCGAATTAATCCTTGTTTCCCGTGCACGGGTTGGACTTGCAGCCACTTCTGTGCCCCACAGGGCCCCCTGGAGCGCCCTGGAGAGGGCCACCGCCTGCTGGCTCCCGGATGATCTCAGTGGCTATTGGTGGAAGGCCTGGGGTAGCCAGGTTGAGCATTCACAGAACTGCCCACAGAGGGCTCGAACCAATATTATATATAAGAATAAGTTATTCTCCAAAATAATAATCCAAATAACATTTATTTTTATTCATTGTAGGGAAAATTTTTCTTATTAATGAAATTTTTTTCAAATGTTTATTGGTAATTTATTATAATTTGGCATTTTAAAATGAAAATATTGTGGAATTTTTCTTTTTTCTAAGATATTTCTATATTATTAATATCTCTAGTTGTTGGTCTTCTCAGTTAGCAACTCTGTATCATAATTTGATATTTAGTATTAGTTATGAAGTATCAAAATATAGGAATAGTTAATATGCCACAAATATACACTTCTACTATATTTTAATTTACTACCACTATTAGAACATTTCTGCTGAACTAAATTTTATATATTTAGTCTATGTATTTAGAAAATATTGCTTAGATTTTCTCCCAATAATTGTATTGCTTACTTTTTTATACTTAACACTTGTACTTCGTGTGAATTATCATTTGGCAAAAGTTATGAGAATATGTAAGTTTGAAGCAAGTGATTATCCCTTTCTAAAATGACTTAATTA